ATTCTAAGATTTGATTTACATTTCTAATTAAAATTGTTTTTGATCATACGTATAGATAATTATATAAAAATTCCAAAATTCTAAAATTTCAAATACATACAAAAACAATCATATGTAAATTTTAAATTTGTGAATATTAAAATTTTATATTTTAATTACATATATTCACCCTGCGCAAGGCGCAGGTCTTATCCTAGTCGTATATTAATAACTTTACTGTAGAGATAATTACAAATTTCAAGATTATTACATTAAGTAATTTAATTTTCGTGTATTAGTAACTTTCCTTATTATTCTCCAAGGAAAACTTATGCATCTTGTTATTGTATTTATTATATTGTTTAAATGCAATTTACCTTTGGGATTCTAATTAGCTTATTTGTTTTCAATAACTTACCTTTCTGATATGAATTACTTGCGCAAGTTAAAATCATATCATATGCAAATCAATTTATGAAAATACAATTTTAATATCTTTCTTTAAACGATTTCAGTATTTATTATGAATAATATAACGGAAACGTCATTATTATAAGAACTTATATATATAGGCGACCCCCAAGGTCTTAAAATACAAACATTCTTCTCTTTTGCGTTTAATGTTAAAAAAGAGTGGCATTGGTTCAAGCCTCCAAAAGCGTTGTTTCTTATGTTAGAGAATTAAAACCGCGTAAAGATACATCGCGTATTGAAGTTAAGATTATCCGCTTGTGGAGAAACTATAACAAAGAATCAGGAAACACCAATTAAATGGTTTTTGTTGATAAAGAAGTAAGTAAAGATATTACTACAAATTTTTTAACATCTCAGATTCATCTTTTATTTTATATTTATTATACAATAAAATAAACTTTTTCTTGGAAAAAAAATTTGTTTCATATCTAATTATTTCGCTTTCACCGAACTTTTATCGTTCACTTCGTCTAACTCATGACTTTTATATTCCGCATCAGGGGACAATAATTCATGTTTCAGTTGGTGAGCAGCTGATCAAAAAGTATGAAGACAAGCTACATGAGGAGATGTGATTGTCCTCCAGTTGTTCAAAGTGTACGGTGCTAATGGTGACTACCATACAACCAGACCTCTGTACAAAATTGGCTTCTTTCCAACAACTTTTGTTGCTAAAACTGATGAGTTCCCAAGTGATGTCCTCGAAAAGTATTTTGCGGACTATGATGATATTTTTGGTGGAAAACTTGATAACAGCTGTTTGGTTGGTGAGTCAGTTTCATTAAAATTTATCATGTAGCTTGGATTTTTATTAATACTCTAACCATTAATACTCTACAACATAAGTCGCGTGATTAAAATGAGCCACCAGACTTGTTTTAAGTCAAATAAAACATCGGTTATGTTATACTTGTTCTTGATATTTTCTGTTTTTGTTATGTAGATGTTATTGACCAAATAGTTAACTTCGGGTCTCTGGAAAACAAAACGATAAAAGGAAAAGATAACATATGGCTCTTGATTGAGTTGCGTGACCAAAAGTAAGCTTAAGTTCTTTATCTTTTTTCTTTTATTTGCTAGCTAAACATCTATATTCTATTTTCTCACTTAATTTAATATTTTACAGTAATGTGAAGATGATGTTTACTCTGTTGGGTCGTTATGCTAAACAAGTATACGATTACAGTATGAGTAACATGTCCACAATGATTATTTGTGTTATCAGGTTCTGTTCTCTTAAAGAGTGGAAAGGTATATAACGTACTTACTTTTTACAATGTTTACTTGCACATGTTGATAAAATCTAAATATTGAAGGTGCTTTCTCCATATCTAGCAGTTATAATTCAACACATATTTTTCTCAACCCAACACTCGATTTGATTGACCTTCAAAGCAAGGTACTCCTCCAGTTTGACAGTTTTTGTTACCTAATCCTATATTTCTCCACCTACACAACCTACTAAAACGTTTTAATTGGATGTATTACTTGATTGTGCAGTCTCCCAAATGATTATCTTGCTCTTACAAACAACAACAGCACCCAATGGTCTGATGGTACTGCTACATATGTTCGTGCCAGGTTTTTTGTTCTTAATGAGAGGCTAATCATAAGAGAGATCATTGATAGTACTCTGGTATATAAACATGTTATGCCATTCATTTTCTTATCGAAAGCCACGTGATTTACCCTTTGTTATCATATTTAGGTTTATTTAGTTTTATTTTTGATTTTCTAATAGGTTGAGACTTTTGTTACTCAATTATTGCCCCATGTGATACAAGGTAGAAATATAACGGTCAACGATATTTCCGGAAACTCAAATTTTGGATCCCAAGAATGTTCGTCACACCACCTGACACAAAGTTTTCTTTCAGAATGCGTTGAAGACAGTTTCCAGTTACATTTGCTTTTGTGATGACTATCAATAAAAGTCAAGGTCAAACGCTGCAAAATGTTGATTTGTTTTCACCTAGACCTGTGTTCTCTCATGGCCAGTTATACGTTGCACTTTCGAGAGTAAAGTAGAGATCTGGATTAAAAATCCTGATAACATATAAACAATGGAAGCCGTAAAAAAACAACAAATGTTGCTTACAAACAAGTTTTTTCAGAATATTCCACAGTACGCCATTTTAGTCTATTTTTATTCGATAGATATTTTGAATTATTAAATATTTACATTTATTTTTTTCTATTATCAGATAGAATAGCACAGACGAAAAACGGGTTGTAGTTGACTAAAAACCAGTTTTAAGACTATTTTGATAACGGTATGTCAATTTAGTAAAGTTTTGGTCTCAATAAAATTTAGAAATCTATTAAGATATTTGATATTGTACAATTGCTTAGAAAATAAAATAATTTTGAGCAGGTTTCTGAATGTAATTTTTTTATCAAGAATTGTACTTCTTATTTTATATTACTTATGGATTATATTTGAATTTATTTCATATTTTCTTTTAATATGCCACTGTTTTTAATTTTATTGTTTAAAAACATAATTTTTCGAATTAAATAGAAAATATAAAATTACAGAATTTATACAACTCAATTTCACTTAGTGATAATATAAAGGCGAGGTTCTCATATGGGGTTGGTGTTTCTTTACATAGACAGTGGAAGAAGCATCCTTCGCTTCTTCTTCCTGGCCGATCTCACCTGGTTTGTGACCTTCATGTAAACAAGTAGTAGCAAAGTGACGCATACCAAGATGAAAGCGAGCTGCAATCGCTTGAAGTACAAGGAAACGACTGAGAACACTAAGAATGCTTGATGACTACCTCATAAATGACAAAGACTACAACATCCACCCTGCATCAAATCCAAATAGCAGCTTTATTAATAATATATACCTCGTAAGTAAAAAACTCAAAACAGCTTATGATACAATCATAATTGTAACAGATACAAATGAGATTGAAAAAATCGAAACAGAAATACAAATTTATTCAAGATTCAATGGATAGATTTTATAGGTTTCCTTGCAAGATCACTGCTTGTAATCACAACATCTCATGACAAAAAAAAACATAAACTAAGCTAAAACCATAAAAAGTGGTTCATAGAACCAACAAGTCACCTCCCTATCTTTGGACCATCAACCCGGTTCCGATCAACAGCAGCCCATGAGACGATATCAACTCTGTTCACAACATTTGAAAAAAAATCAGACTCATATTTGTTACCAAAAAACTTAGAAGAAGATCATGCAATACTTGGAGATCAATGAGTTCACTATTGAAGATATGTTTCCATCAAAATTCAACCCAACCGATATCACAGTATTTTTTCATGCCCACACAGGATACGGACCAGTCACCTAGTAAATAGATAAATAAATAAATAACACCGCTTAGATTATAATATAACAATAGTCTAGTTCTGCTTACCTGTTTTGCATCAAACATCATCCGGTACATGTGCAGAGGAGGATACTGTTGATACGTACTCTGAGGCAGGAAGATTCCATAGAGCTATATCTTTACCCTGTCCACCAGTAAACAATAAATATATATACCCAGGATAGGAGTCAGTGATAAGAAAGAATCAATCAACAGGTTGTGACTCTATGTATTTCAGTAGTTGTACATACATTATTTGAATAAAGTCTTACCAAACTAACACTGAGAACCCATACACTCTATTAACTACATCATGTGTCCTGATCAATCCCTCAGGTACAGTCACCCACCATAAAGTCTTCACCTTTTGAGTACCCAAACACCGTCGTTTTGGAATACGAGCGAGCTCATCGAATGCGATGACGTCTGGATTAGACTTTGGAGCCTAGGTAGTTCGAAACACTGTGCGCATATGTATCTCTCGTTTCCATCAGAATTTCATCTCTATATCATCTTCATTCCAATTAGTAGCATCTCGGTACGTATTGTTCTGATTATTTGAAATCCCGTCGATACTTAGAGCATCTCCAAGCACACTTTTTATTTTAAAAAAGAGACCCACTGAAAATAAAGGGATAGGTCTCTAACCATAATCTTTAAAAAATTTCATTCAGAACTTTATATATTACATTTTAGTCCTCAGTATTATTAATAATTAACTATAATCACTAAAATTTAACAAAGAAGCAATAAATATACATTTTCAACAATATTTATATAAAATAAAACATCTCCAATAATAATATATAGTCAAATATACTTATACATAATATAAAAAGTGTCAATAATATATTTTTAGTTAAAATAGTTTTTAGAAACTATATCGATAAGTATTAAAACATAATATATAAAAAGTTATTATGTAATTTTTAAACTTTATATAATTGTAGGGATTAAAATGAAAATTGAATAGTATTTAAAAGAATCAATAATAACCTTTTATATTTGAAGTGTCATTATTCACCCCTTTAAAAAGATAACGGATAAAGAATGGTTGGAATGCAATATCTATTAAAAAATAATGGATGGGTTGGAGAAGATGAAAAAGAGGTCTCTAAACCGGCCGAGTAGTGATTCTGTTTAATTACGTTTTAGTCCTTAAGTTAGTATTATTTTCTATTTTGTCCCGATAAATTCATTGGTGTAATCAGTTTCGAAATTGCACTAGGCGTTAGTCGGGCGTTCGGTCCGGGTCTAGCGAGTTGCAAAAAAATCGGAGATTAATCGCGGGGATTAGTTTTGAGTATTTTTTTTCAGTTTCAAGTTATATATAGTTAATAATGAATGATTTACCAAGAAAGCAGCGAGAGTTGTTATGGTGTAGTGGTCTTCTAACTTGTTTTAATTCGTTAGATCGCAGGTTCGATGGCCCAAATGCGATTTTTTTTTTGCTTTTTCTCATAAATGGCATAATAGTAAATATCTTTTCTTCTTCCCTGTCGTCTCTTCTCTCCCTGTAAACCTAATTACAGCCGCTTTTTTATCTTCTCCAGCACAAATCAACATTCTTTTAACGATTCCCATTGATTTAACTTCATTTCTTTGTTGCTAGCACTGAAATATGATGATTTTGTGATGAAATCAACGTTCTCGAACACGGAAATATCATAATATGCTTTTTTTTTTTACCCGAGTTTTTGACCGAACAGGGTAAAGTCGCGGCGGAGCTCCGGCGCCAAGCGTTTCACCGGCGCGTAATCGGCCACTCCGGCCGCGTTTTAGAACCTGGGGTGTAATATGAACCCAATTCATTGGATAACAAAACCTTGTGAACGAACAGAGGTTTGGTGATCGTGTATAAGCTATGAATTTAAAAATATTTCTCGCCGACTGTGGGGATCGAACCCACGGCCACGTGATTAAAAGTCACGCGCTCTACCACTGAGCTAAGTCGGCTTAACGTTAGTTCTGCCCGTTAATAATCTAAGATCATCGTTAGTAAGATTTATTTTAATTTTCCAGATAAAAGATAACAATTTTTTAATATTTAACATAATTTTGTATAAATCTGTTCAAAATTATTTATAGTTGTAAATATATTTTAAGGAAGAGAAAATAACTTACGTTATAAATTTTTCTATCTACCATGTTCTATTTCGTTGTCCCCATGCTACAACAATTTAGGGTTGCTCAGTGGTCCTCTCTTCTCATTAGTTTTTGGTAAATTTGGAAGACAACATCCTAACACTATTTAGAGTTTAAAAGTGTTGCCTGAGATTGATGTTAATCGTCAGTTGGTGTTTTGGATTGTTTGGTTTATTTGGAAATCTCGGAATGAATTCATATTTACAAAGAGAAATGAACATCCAAGTGAAGATATAAAACGTGCTACAGAAGCTAATACCGAATGGTTAAACATATCCTCAACAGTAATCTCCATAACCGTATTAGTGTCCCAACATATTTACCTTAGGAGCTTCCACCGTACGTATGTGACTGCGTAAAATATAACTTTGATTGTAGTTTCATGCAAAGGAATGAAATGGGTGGTGTCAGATGCATTTTTAGAGACAAGAAAGATAAACATTTCGGTTCAGCCCTTCAGGATATGCACAGTGTCCAGGGTATTCATTATTTTCTGAAAGGGGAAGCTACAAGTTTTTTATATGTGATGCAACAAGTTTGGATACGTGTTTTGAGGAAGGTGTGGTTTGAAAGGGATAATCAGGAACTCTGCTTATCATAAATAAAGTTCAAGATCATGTGGAAATAAGAAATTTACTTAGTGATATAAGACATTTGATGTATCTTCTCCGTGAAAGCTAACTGGATTCTGTCAATGAAGAACAGAATCAAGCAGCATATGCTCTTGCAAAGAAAACTCTACAACAAGATCAACAATATGATTTCTTTAATATTCTTCATGTTTGGTTGATTCATTTATTGTATTCATATACGCTTTGAATTAATAAAGTACAGTGGTTATAATAAAAAATAACTTGCAACGTCTACAATGATTGTGTTTCGCGATTGGATCTCTCCCGAAGTCGGTTTAGCTCTGTTGAAATTCAATAATATAAGAATGAGTTTGCCACAGTTTTGGTCATTAGATTATGTAAATGCGTTTAGGTTTTTTTTTACATTATCTATATATATAAAGGAGCAGCTTCTCTTCACCTAGGCTTCCACGTCATCATTCTCCTAATGTTTTCTTAGCTTGACACGTCATACTCTTCACTTACGGTTTTAACTTCCGCGTTTGCGCTTTGTTTCCGGGTTTGATACCGTAAAAAGTGGCTGCGAGTATGTTCGGCCCCAGTAGGCCCAGTAAATGTGTTTTCA